GAGCAGTCTCTACCCTGAATCCCAATTCCATGGCTTAATTTACCCTGTTTCTATTCTTTATCTAAATGGAATCTCAAAGAGCTCTTGCAGCTTGCTTTTGTTCATTCTGCATCACTTGCAAGATTCATTGCATTGTTGTTCATTCTCATTGCTGTATTGTATTCTATTGTGTGAATGTATCAGTTTACTCTTTGTACTGTGTGATGGGCATTTGGGGAGTTTCCAGAGCTGCTGGGTTTACAGTCCATGCCTACTGGTGGCTTTACAGATGCATTTCTACTGCATAAATAGTAGAACTGCAGGGACATGGGTTTTGCATTTGCCCAATGTCAGTAGATACCCTGAACCTTGTTTAAGGCACTTTTAATATTCCACATTATTTTATCTGTGAATTTACATCATTTTTCCTTAACAGATTATAAGTGTTTTCAATTAAATAAACACTGTGCTCCGGCTCATTTTAAAATGACCGATCTAGCATACAATATAAGATGGAAAACGAAGTGAGAAAGCAGAAATGAAAATAAGTTCAGAGGAAAAATGAATAAAGGGAATGTAATGGCTCGAATACATTCCACAAGGTGCTTTTCAACAAGTTGAACCACAAATGTGGTGGAGCCTCCTATCAGCCAATACAAAGAGGGAAACAAGTTACAGAAATCAGTGTTCACAGATAGATGTACCAACTGCTCAGCAGTGTGGCTATTTCTAGTGCTGAGATTTAAAAAAAGTCAATCAGAGTCTTCCTCAAGAGGATACTGTCTGGCATTGAAAATGAAGGATCCAACAACTTCAACTGACAACAACAAAGGAAATTCTGTTTCTCCCCTCCGGTTCTAATCTCCCTCAACGGGCAACTCCAGGAGAACTAATGCAACCAGATACATATTTCTCCAAAGGTGTAAGACCAAGAAAAAAAAATAAACTAGACTCAAAGTGTGGTTCAGGTGCCTGGAGGGGTCTCTAGGATCTTTCTAGGGGTATTGCATGATCAAAAATATTTTTACAATCCTACCAAAGGCTTTTTGCCTTTTTTACTCTCATCTTACGAGGGTAGTTTTCCAGAGGTCATATGACATGTGATACAGCAATAGATCAGATGCAGAAGTAGATAAGAGAATCTAAAATCTTCTATTAAGCCAGACATTGAAGAAACTTGCAAACTAATTTTGGAAAATAAAATTTTTCCACACAAAAATGTCATATACTTTAGGTCTCCTATGGATATTTTTAAATATTAAAAAAAAATTATTTTAATTTCTAACACATTAAGCATCTATAGGTACAATCCACTTAAGAAAAAACATTTGGGAGTTCTCAAAAATGTTTGAGTGATAAAGGGTCATGAGACTATTTGGCGAATGTCCCCAAAAGTCACGAGGCCCAGAAGATAACTGGTAAAAAATGTTCTGTGATCAAATACACTTGGGAAATGTCATGTCTCTCTTGGAAATTGTGAAATGAGAAGCAGATGAACTTAATGCTCTGTTTCCTAACTGTATGTGACTGTGACCGAGATCCCCTCTTTCAAGTGCTCTCCTTGTTATCCTGAAGGCACACCTGGAGAGCCATGGATGAACTACCAGGCCCTGATTCAACCCTCATTAAGTAGCATCTCTTACAACTTGGGCTTCTGTCAAGTGTGGGCAGCACAGTCTGACATGACACCTCTGATACCATCAAAAGTGAGCCTTTTATAAACATCGAGGCAGCCGAGCAGGACAGAAAGATTCTTTACCTCTGCAGAGGTAGACCAAGGGCAGGGTCAAGGCCAGGACAAAGAGCCCACTCAGAATAAACTGAGTCTGTTCCAGCTGACAGATCATCGAGGCCCCTCTCGTCTATGACACTCAGATGCAGTCATTTCAGTTGGATGTCTTCCAAAGCAGATGGTACAGGCATTGGCCTCAGTCACAGAGAAATCTCAATTAAGCACCCACAGGATGCTTGACTCTTAAGTCACACCTCCTGGTGCCCCCTCCAAAGAAAAGAGTGGTTAAATGTACCCCGAATGAGTCAACTTCTTTTATTGGGTTGTTAACTATGAGTCAATTAAATGTTAAGGAATGCTGACCAGAAATGATGACTTTGGAACTATCAATCTTTCTGACAGTAATTAACATGCCAGTTTTCTATTAGGCCTACTCCCAGTTCACAATAATAAAATTATGTCATCAGGCAGCTCATCTAAAAGAGAGCATACAAAAAATAAATAAATAAAAATAAAAGAGAGCATACAGCAATGGGTAAGGCACTCTGGGGAATCAAAAAATGAAAAAGACGTGTCTTTTTGAAAACACAGAATCTAGATTACAGGTCAGACAGAGACCAGAGAAGGAAAGAAGTATTCTCATCTCTGCAGCACCTGGCGAGGTATCTGGTAGAGAATTGCATTCAATGAACATTTGTCTCAACATATTTGCTATTTACCTGTAAGATTTTTACTTGACAAACACCACATAATCAAATGTCTGGTCAAATATAATCCAGTCAAACAGTACTTCTTGGTATAATTAATGAGCCTATAAAAAAGGATTTCCAAAAAACTTACACCATTATGAAGTAAGAGAAATCATTTTAATATATACATTTTCACTTCAGTCAATTCAACAATGATTTCTAATAGGCATGCAGACCCATTTAGTTTGCTTCAAATTTATTTCTCAACATGCAGCAACCTTCCGAATGAGATAGTTAAGCTGAACTATTTATTCCTAAAGAGTACAATGTACCTTGTCCTCAAATAGTTTTATCAACTTTAACATTTTCAAAAAGCCCTATGAGGCTGCTCAATATGGTAGTTTTCCCCTGAAATTTCCTATTTGGAGGATGGCAAAACAGTCTAGGATCTTTCCCAGTCTACTGGTTGCTTGTATTCATATCACAGCATGGCTGGCTAAGAGGTAGAGACTGAATAATATGTAGATAGCCTTCAAGCCCAGTTGAGTGAGACAGCTTCATTTTTAGAAAGGAAACCAAATCATGAAAACCCTCCTAATAGTATGATTTGTTCCAGGGTTCTTTTAAGAAGGGACGTAATCCTCACGCACAGGACTCTTTATGGCCTTCTAGAGTTTTCTGCTCCAGCCAGTGTTCTCCAGCCAGGTGACTTATTGCAGTTTCTGCAGAACTGAAAGCATGACGTCTCTGTCTACTTGCATCATTAGAGGTGGTGTTAATCTTCTCATTTCCGGCCAAATGGATCTGACCACACTTTCAACCCTATAGAAAGAAACATGAATTAAAAACAGGATTCATTTTTAAATTTCCTACCACTTCCCTCAACCCCAAACAAAGATGACATCAGAACGAAGTTGTGCAATTTCCACGGAGTTTGAGGTAGTCTGGGCAAGCTGCTGGGAACCTAGAATGAACGGCTGGGCAGCCCTGACAGCCAAGAGAGATTTTTAAATGGCTCAGAATCTGCCCCACAGTAGGGAGATATGTATCTGGCCTAGTTAAAAAATAAATTAAAAAAAGACTGCTGCCACAAGAGTTTTGGCTAATAAGCTAGAAACCTCTCATTCTCAGCCAACTTGGATTGTCTCAAAGTAACTAACCATTCAGCCATAAAGGGAACTTCTGAGCTTCTGTATAAAGCAGAATCCTGCATCAATTAAAATAGCTCACAAGTAAACAGTATTTTCCCATGAGGGTTGTGTTTAAATAGGTGCTGGGTAAATAAGTCTGCAAAATAGCTATTTATGCTTCATAGTTAATTGCACACTTGTTACATGTTTATGCCCACTTATCAAACTCAAGAGAAACATGCAAACTTGCAAAAACTATTCCGGAGTGAAATATTAAGAGGAAGTCTTAGGGTGGCAACCTCTAAAATGGCAACTGCTGAAAAATAATAGCACAATCACAATCTAGCCTCAAAGTAAAAAAGATTTCTCTGCAAAGCACATCCCTCCCCCCAACAATGCAGCAGTTCACATGCGATTTTTGTCTTGATTTTTAAGTTTACCTGGTGGCTGCACATCTTCTTGAACAATACCAGCTCGATTAATGGCTTGTTCCTTCTCTGAGAAACACAACAGAAAAATTACTCTTCAGAGAGGGGGTGGGGGGCAGAGTGGTGGAACTCTTTGTATGGACATGGGACAATAAGAGAACAGTATATCTGAGTGCTATTAAATTCAGAGCTGCCATTGCCCAGAGCTTTTAGGTAATGGAAGTTGGATTCTATCAAGCAAAAAGACTGGATATTTTCAGTGAAAGAAAGCAAGCCATACTTCAGAAGAAAAACTCCCAATGAACATCTTTTCTCGGTGATCTCAGCAGTTTGGAAAGGCAACAAAAACAACAGAAAAAGAACAATTTTGAAAGAACTAGTGGGTGTGATGCGATGAGGGCAGGGCTGTTGAATTGATGGAACAAGTACAATTAACAAGGAAAGGATGCAGTTTATGTGTCTAAAATGTACTCCACTGAAGGCCTAGACCCAGAGCTAAATATGCTATGTTTTTGATAGGAAATAGAGCAGAAAATTAATCTTTGGGTGGGTGGCTTTGGTTTGGATAATTGAAGCTTCCCTAATTGACTGCAGGTGCTGCACCAATTAGTAAGCGCGTTCTAGTGACAGCAGCTTAGCTGATCTCTTTGGAGATGTCCAACAGGCGAGGGCCAAGAGAAACTGGGCATTTCATGTCTGTGGGCTTCAAGCACTCTGACACATCTTTCTAAGTGGTTTCAAATAAACCCAAGAGCTGTAAAAACAAAGACTTATTATTTTAAGTATCTTGACAAACAAATCGTGGCTTTTCAGCAGAAAGACTTGGAGCCAAAGGCTGTTTACTACTATATTATAGTAATTAAGTGCTGTAATCAAACCTCTGTTTTAATCAGGCTAAAAGTGTTTCTTTTAAATCCATATTTAACTCTTCTTTAATATTAGGCTATTTTCTTTATTCTTGCCTCTGGATTCTCATGAAGTTATAAGAAACAGGGCTTTGCCAAATCGAATATTCATTGAACTTGCTTCTCTGGTGATACGACGGAAAGTCAATCTTAAGGGACCTATCTGAGGTTTTATCAATGCTAAGTTTTGCTTTGGCAACCAAAACACTGGGCAGTAGGGATCATCTGAATCTTGACATCCAGTTCTAAGTGAGACAGAGAAGATACAGCACAAAGAAGCCCCTTACAGACAACGATGACCGTTTCACCAGGCCTCTCTGAAATAGCAGGTAAATGACAACCAAGTCCCTATGGACCAAGAGATGCCAAAGGATGTCTTCCATTTAGAGTGGGTGATAATGGAGCCTCTAAGGTGTCAGACTTTCTAAAATAACTCAACACAAAAGACAATCTTATTTCCTAAGAAGTTGAATTCCTGTAGGATTGAGCCCCACCACGCTGTCACCATGTAAGTCTCCAAGTAGGGATGTGTCTCAAACATGATCTTAGAAAATGCCAACTAAGAGAAGACTACACTGTCATCAATAGTGCCAGGAACAAAAATAGATATCATTTTTCACACCTAAAAGGTCCATTCTCCAGTATTACGGAAGAAGGAAGAGATGAGTTTTTTAAAAAACACTTGATTGCCAGAAAGCGTTCTAGATGTCCAGATTTAAGAGAATCAGATAGCCTGGTGTACCAAACACACGCTACAAGAGGCAGGTTGTACAAAGCCAAAGAAACTGGCAGTCTGCCAAGCATCAAAGGAAGTTGACTTCTGGTGGCAACAGAATGCCTAATTGTGTTCTCACCTCTTATAATGCAATAGAGAACCAAAAGAAGAGAAAGGAATCCCTGTCTTTACACTTCCTTGCTAATTGCTAATGAGGTTGGAGAGAGGCTGAGGATTTATTTTAAATAGACCATAATCTCTTTATAATCCTTGTCCTTATGCAACCACCTCTTTTTTTCAGCTTGGACGGGCAATTTAAACTGATTTGCAGAACTAGTTTGTACAGAGTGAAAACTGGTATTAGCATCCTATCTACATCCCCTGCTTCTTTTATCCATTAATGTTCTGTAAGTGCTTGAAGACCAAAACAGTCTTATATAAATTCACAATATGACACAAAGACACTTTATTTGTGAATGTGGGATATGCTAAAGGGAAACAAACTGGCCCCCTCGGGACTTAGCAAATATGTCTTGATGAAGCTAACAGGTGTCTATTCTGCTGTCATTAGAGAAACAGCAGATGTATCTGGGCCTCAGGAAAAGGGCAACACAGAAGTTAGGGGTTTAACTATGTGGGCAAATCAGGATAAATTAATTACTGACTTTTCGGTAGTGAGCATATTTCCATCAGGAGTGAAATGGTTAAAATGCAAATACGCAGCACTGGGCTGGGAGCTTTGCAAAGTCAGTTAGACAAGCCCCCTCTCCAGTGTCTCAGCAAGTCCAACCCTGCCCCCTGGTGCTAAGGCAGCGAGCTGATCTGCAGTTTAACCGAGGCTCCTTAGCTGTATTATTCAAAACTTAGTAATACAAGCAGATGGGCTCATTTTTGTACAGTAGCAAAAGTCTTAAACCCATCTTTTAAGACTTCTTTAAGTTTTAAAGTTTAAGACTTTTTAAAGTCTTAAACCCATCCTTATATTAAATGTCCATACTGTGAAATCTGTGTGACTTACTGTTTTATTTAACATTTACAGCAAATGGACGCAGCACACCCATGCACCAGCCCCCTCGGCAGTCTTGTTCGGGATGGTGTTCTTGGGGAGCACTAGCAGACAGAAACGTAAAAGCAGGTGCAGAATCTCAGCTCGGGACCCTCTGCAGCGAGACCACCACCTCAAGAACACCCCTTCCATCTCCTCCTGCCAATGAACCAGTTAAAGTACAAGCAACTCACCACTTGAGCTAACTGGCCAGATGACTGCCTCTGAATATGGACTGTATATTACATAATAGTATTGTGTCAATATTAAATTTCCTGGATTGGATAACTGTGATTATGTAAGAGAATGTCCCTGTGCTCAGGAAATACATGCTGAAGTGTTTAGGTATCAAAGCTCACAAGGCCTGCGACCTAACTCTCAAATTGTTCAGCAAAATAATAGTAACAGTAATATGTATATAATATGTGAACATACGCATATCTCTATGTATGCATGTGTGTATAGATGTGTCACATACATATCGGGAGAGAAAGCAAATGTGGCAAAATGTTAACAACTGGTAAATCTAGGTGAAGAACATAAAGGGATTCATTGTACTATCCTTAGATTTTCTCAGTTGCATTTTTTTAACAACAAAAAAACACAACTGCAAAACAAACAAGGAAGTCCAACACTGACTATTTCATGATGATTAAGTCAAAGTCTCTTTTAAAAATAGCAAATATAAAATGGAAAAGTACTTTTCTAGTGCTCCCATTTTGCTGCAGTCTGCGGCTGGATGTGTATGCCATGGGAGCGAGTCTGAGCCGGTGGCTGAGGGCATCAAGGGGCCACTGGAAGCACGGGCTCCTCCCAATCCTGGGAACACCTCTATTTCTCACCAGGGTGTGTGATGGAATCCAGACAGCTTTGTAGGGCCTGTTAGAAAAAAACACTTTAGTCTGCAATTCATTTTACTCAAGGTGAAAGGAATAAAAAGCATGTTCTGAGCACTTGCCACAGAATAGGGAAAATGCCCTTTTAAGGTAAGAGGTACTCCTCATCAAGTGGCTTCTCACAGGCCTGCCCCGACTACCACACGCTGTGGATGGGGGCACAAAGAGAGGAAGAATTGAGGGGTCATGCTCTTCCACCCTGGCTTTGCTGGCAGGCCCTCCTCTGTCCTAAACGCAGGTGCAGCTGGGCTTCATCAAGCAGCAGACAAGGCTGGGGAGTTCGGTCGAGAGTTTAGCCAGCAACGAATGTGCTAAGTGGCCCTGAGCAAGTCACCTAAACACGGGGGCCGAATGAGCGCAAGGCTCCTGGCAAAACCCTACGGTTTTACGCTTCTCCACATCTAACTAAAGTTAGTTACAAATGTACAGGATCGCAGGAAATGATCTTATTTTGTCTCATTTCATAGGTTGCCCTGAAATGCTGTTATTTTTAAAAGGCCACATTCAGAATCCCTGGCTGGTTCTAAGACAAAACGCAATTAAGCTTCAGGCTGTATCACTTGCGCGCTTCCCTAAACATGGGCTCTTCCCACAAACCACACTGGGCTGAGAGCTAAAAAGTAACATCCGGATTCCCCTGCAGAAGGACTGCAGAACTATCTGAATACTCCTGGTTTCGGACTGACAACTGCCATCTCCCCAGGGCTCATTTCAGTATCAGGAATCACCAGTGAACTGACCTTGTATGCTACCTAACACTTGGTAAAGTCTGGCTGAGTTACTGAAAGAGCTGAAGGTCACACTGAATGTCAAGATGAAATTCAATATGGCAGCCTTACGACCGTGGCCTGTCTGCTTTTAGAGCAGAAGATCCTGGCTGTATTTTACATAAGGGGCCTTCTGCCTCTTTCCTACCGCCCTGGGGCTTATTCCAGCAGGGCCCGGAAGCCCACCTACCCTCTACCCAGGCCGGCCGGCATCTGTCAGCCTGGCCCGGCTGAAAGCTCCTGCAGTGACTCTTGGGCCCTACACGGCCAGCGCTCCTTGCCAGCCTCCGGCTCCCCTTGTCAAGGACTGGGCGTCTGCCCAGGCCTTCCAGTGACCATGGGCTTCTCCTTGGTCTGCCCAGAATTCTGGGGACCACAGAGCTATGAAGCAAGCTCAGAAGAAAAAGAGCCAACGAGAAAGGCTAAGAAGGAGTGGATGAAAGGCAGGAACAAGAGCAAAGCCAGGAGTGCTGGCGGAGGTAGACCACCAGGCCCGAGGAAGAAAGCGTCCCGAGGAGGGAGAGCCTGGCTGGGGGTCGTGCCTCTCACGTGCAGTCACCAGACCTCCTGCGTCACAAAGAGAACAGAAGACAAGGTGACAAGGAAGGGCCCACAACCTCCCAAAGTCACACCGCCGTCTAGCTGTATCCAGGCCGTCCCTTCCTCCTCCACTGGTGGAAGAAGTGTCCCGCCCTGGGTCCAAGTCTCCTCCTCCATCTGACGTCTAGATTCCCCTAACTCCTCCAGCAGCCTTCTTTATCCAGAGACCCTCTTGGCTCCCCAATGCTCCCAGACAAAACAGAACCACCGCTCCCCTGGCGCCCTCGACCAGCTGCAAATACAATTCCTCATTCTCCTCTTCAGATAGCCCAACGTCTTCATATAGTCAACCTAATATACTACTTACTCTTCATCCGCTGCAATCTGCCTTCTGCTGTCAAACCACTGAAAGCACTCTTAACAAAACAGCCACTGAGCTTCACCTTCTTTTTGCTAAATCCGATGGACATTTTCAGTTTTTATCTTCCTTACTGTCTCCAGGCAGCCGAGCCCTGCTGATCACACCCTTTGCCACGAAGAGCTATCTTCCTGGGGCTTATGACCGCAGCCTCTGCCAGTTTTAATGCTCGCACTCTGGCCACTCCTTGTCAGTCTCCTTAGGAGGCCCCTCCTCTGACCACTTGCTCTTCAGACCCTCAAGTGCCAGTGTTCACCTGCGCTCTGTCCTGGACCAGCTTGTCGCCTTCAATCTCGGAATGCTGCCCGGAGCCCCACCTGCTGCAGGGACTCCGCTTCCCATCCGATGCTGAAGGTGTGCCATCTCTAGCTCCAGCTCAGATCCTGTGGCTCGGCTCCAGACTGGCACGCCCCACCTCCTAGGGGAAATCTCCAGGAGCACATCCAGGTACCTAACACTCAATACATCCCAAACTGAACCAGCGTGTCCCCTCACCCCTAAACAGACTTCATGTATTCCTTAACGCCCAGCACCACACCTCTTCAACTGCTGGAGCCGGAAAGCTGGGGGCCAGCCTCCTTCCTCTCCCTTGCTTGCCGTTGAGCTAATCAGTCACAAACCCCTGCAGAGGGTTTATTTCTCAAACCTGGCTCCTGAATTCGGTCCTTCTGCCCAGTCTCATAACCACTGGCACTCTGGTGCAGGCTACAGTCATCTCTCCTGAAGTCACAGGAAGCACAGCCTGCCTGGGTGTTGGCCTTCTTACCTTCAACCTTGGCCATTCCGGTCCCTTCGTCACATACAGTCAGAGATGCCTGGAAAGGCTGAATCTGATCACCTTGCGCTCCTGATTAGAACATTTCAATGATTTTCCACCAGCTGGACTCTGAGGACAGCAGAGGGTTATTCAAGTGTTTTAAAATAAGCAAGTGAGATGATCAAATTCCAAGAGCAAAAGGCACAACAATAGGCTTTTCAACAGGCGCAGTGGAAAACCTGGGGTTCTATACATTTTCTGACACACACGCCTGTATTTTCCCAGTTACAAATTCTCACCAAAGAAACACAAAGATGTATTTCAGAATGAAGAAAACTGAAATTAGAAAGGTGTGAGACAGAAAGATCAGTGAATAAAGAATGTGGGTCAAGAGAAATAATCAGTGACTGTGTAAAATGTTGATGGTCCTAAGTGGTCTAGAGAAACAATCAGTGATTATGTAAAACAGTGATGGTCCTAAGTGGTCTGGGAAGCAAGTTTCTTGTGTTTACAAGGCAGGAGGGGTGGGGAGTGTGGGACAAGAGCTAAGGCCTTCTAAGGTCTTTGTTTATTTCATAGAAGGTAAAGATACTGACTAGCTCTAAATTGTCAAAACAAAAGAAGAAAAACAGAATGTAAAACTTTCAAATGAGTAGAGGGCAAGAAAATTAAATAAAGAAGCCTTGAAGCAGAAAAGGAGAGAGAAAAAAAAAGAGACAAGACTAAATAGAAAACATAAGATAGGGAAAATAATCCAAAATTTTAAAGATTATCAGACTGGATTTTTTTTAAAAAATCCCAGTTTGGGTTGCTTATAAGACTTAAGGACAAATAAAGGCTAAATATAAGAGAATATGTATACCAGGAAAACACTAACCCAAAGAAAGCTGGTAACTATGATGATATTAGATAAGACAGAATTGTGGAGGCATGTGAGGGGATAAAGAGGACTCTTACATAATGATAATTGAAAAAAAAAAATCTTCAGAACATTCTAGATTGTGAGCAACAACTAATATGGCCTCAAGATATATAAGTAAGAGAATTAAGAATGATTTGGAACCATCATACACAAAACTCTGTGCCCCCAAAGAGAACATACCTCATTCCAAGCATACAGGGAACATTCACAAAAACTGGCCTGTACCAAGTCACAAAGCAAGTCCTGACTAGTATCAAAGAATCAAAATCACACGGTCTGAATTCTCTGACCACAAATGCAAAGAAGGTGGCTAAGCAACGACAACGTAGCCAGGAAGACCAGCGTGGCTGCAGGGTAGAGAACAGGGTGGTCGTGGTGCTGGTGGAGCAGGGAGACCCACTCACAGCACCAGGAGTGGGTGGCGGGAGAGGGGTCGGACGCGGATGGGGACAGAGGCATGAGAAGAGCGCTGCCTGACCTGTCCAGTCTCATACATCCAGCACCTAACACAGTGCCGGGCACACTGCTGTTAAAATACAGGTTTTTAAAAGTAAAAAGAAGGCTAAATAAATGCTAACTGAATGTGCTGAAATGAATCGAAGCTCCGTCCTCACAGCGCATCTCCATGACCTGGTCACAAACACCTCACCTGGGTCTGAGCATCTGCTTAAATCTCCTTGTCTCACTTCCCTGCCCATGTAGCTCCTTATTTTTGAAATGTTTTTATGGGATTCCTAATGTAAAAATATGAGCTTCCCTGGTGGCTCAGCGGCAAAGAATCCATCTGTGAATGCAGGAGGACACAGTTTTGATCCCTGGGTCAGGAAGATCCCCTGGAGAAGGAAATGGAAACCCACTCCCAGTATTCTTGCCTGGAAAATTCCATGGACAGAGGAGCCTGGCAGGCTACAGTCCATGGGTTGCAAAGAGTTGGACACAACTGAACAACCAAAACAAAAATAAAAAATCAGTATTTCTACACCTTTTATCTCATTTAATTCACTCCAAAACATGTAAATTCAGTCCTGCAAACTTCACTGTTACAGATGGGGAAACAGGCCAGGCTCAGAGAGGTTAAGTAGCTCATCTTAAGATCCTCTTCTAGGAAGGGACTTAGACCCTCATCTGACTTTCTCCCTCTATCTTCTTAGAGAGGCAGTATGGTGCCCTGATGTAATAGTGAACGGCACTGGTTCAAATCTGGGACTCATTGGTTGTGGGTTCTTGTACAAGTTAACTGTTTTATACCCCAGTCTGTCCACGTATAAAGTGGGGCTGATGATCACATAGCAACTACCACAAAAGGTTGCTGTTTGCACCAAATGGGTTAATATATAAAAAGTGCTTGGAAGAGTGTCAGACATATAATCCGTTTTCAATACATATTAGCTATACAGTATCATTTACCTGTTTAAGGACTCAGTTATAACTCAGATAAGAGTGTCCAAATTAATTAAAATTGAACCAGAAACATAGGCAGGTGTTGACTGCCTTACATTTAAAAATGCTGATATTGTAGCCACACACTCAGTGTTCACTTTTAAGGCCTAATTTGTCTGTCTGAAAGTGACTGAGATAACCATAGACCACGGACCTGTAAGACTGTTGTTGCGAGACACAGCATAACCCACACCCTGAACCAGAGGCGGGTTTCTCAATCTTGGCACATCTGCACTTTGGGCTGGGTAATTCTTCGTTATGGGTGGCTGTCCCGCGTGTTGCACAAACTTTAGGAACCTGGCCTCTACACGCTAGATGCCTGTGGCACACTCACCTACCCCACCCTACCCCATGGCACCCATTTTGTGAACCAAATGTCCCCGGGGGACAAAAATCACCCCTAGTTGAAAAACCACTGCTCTAGTCGTCCTAGACTAAAACTTTTCTGGGGAATCCTCTTGACCCAAGTTCAACTCTAGAGGCTATCAGAAAACAGTGAAGCAGGATTTTGTAAGGAGGGTTAACAGATTATGCAAGGCTTCACTCAACCCCATTTTTATTTACCCCATGCATGGTGCACAGAGACAGGCTGGAAGGCAGAATGCAGACCATTTCAATCCCGGGTGATAAAAAAGAAGCTGCAAGGAAATCTGAGCGTGTGCTTAAAACGCTCTGTCTCAGAAACCAAATGTTGTAGCATTTGTAATGGGCAGAGCATTTACACGGAGCTTTCGGCTTTAGATCGCCAAGCTTTCAGCCTCCGCTAATATTCTCAAGGGGCATGGCTGGCCTTCTTCCATCTTCAAGATGATTCAGGTTTCCTGGAGAACAAAATGAGCCTCTAATGCCTGATATTTTCTCTCTGACAGATGGTTTCAGACGTACCAAAGTGCTAATCCTTGCTGAGGTATAGGTCTCAAGGAAGGAGAGTTTGGCTTTTAGAATGATAGGACTTGAATGATTAAGGAAGAAAATTACTCCCAGGATATTCGCCATTGTCATGTGAGCAGCCGGCTTAAAACGAAGGAAGACAGCAGAATGTGAAAAAAAGATTTGAGAAGAAAGGAGAGGAAAAACTCAAAAATCCAGGTTAACAGTCTAGGTTTGAAACATGTCTGCTCAATGACATCTTTGGGAGTGGAAATGAAGTGCCATAAAAACACCTTCAAGGTCAGGATAATGAGGGGCCATCCCTCCCCAGCTTCATCACCATTCCCAGCTTCAGGGTGTGTAAGAAGGCCCGGAAATGAAGGCGGAAGTTGGAATATTAGTCTTGCCACTTACTAGCTGTGTGTCCTTGGGCATGTAATACAACCTCTCTGAGACTCCCCATCCATAAAACACTTAATAATAACCTGCCTCAAAATGAGGCTGCACAAATTAAATGATCCAGTATTAGTCGCTCAGTCGTGTCCGATTCTTTGTGACCCCATGGACTGGGGCTCCCCAGACACTTCTGTACCTGGGATTCTCAAGACAAATACTGAAGCGGGTTGCCATTTCCTACTCCAGGAGATCTTGGCAACGTGCTTAATGAAGACACATTAAAAAGCCTCCAGTGAATACCAGTATGAACTAGTATTTAGTGTTGACCTACTATGTTAACTGCTTTTATTACCACCTTTGAGTCTCACCAGATGCCAGTTTTAAAGATATTATACAGACACAAGAGACGCAGGTTCGACCCCTGGATTGGGAAGATCCCAGTAGGAAATGGCAACCCACTCCAGTATTCTTGCTTGGAAAATTCCATGGTCAGAGTGGCCTGGCGGGCTACAGTCCATGGGATCGCAAAGAGCTGGACACGACTGAGCGACCCAGCACGCACGCACACACACAGTTAACTACTACTGAGGATGGTGAAGGTCTCAGAGGTCGAGTCACTTGACCCCGGTCACGAAAGTGCACACAGCCAGAGTCTAACCCGGGTCTCGCTGACTCGTGAACCAACCTCAGTCCATGGCCCCACGTGGGGATGATAAGGGAAAGCAGGGAGTTACTAGGGCCAGGCGGCCGCGTGGGGTCAGATATCACTGTCAGCGGGCTCGGGACGCCGCGTGGGGTCAGAGGTCACTCACTGTACTCCTCCAGCCGCATTAAGGGCCGGAAGTAGATGGGGTAGAAGGCGGCGCCGATCAGGGAGATGAAGCCACCGAAAATGAGAGCAGTGCGCAGGTTCCGGGACATGGCTCCAGCCGGGGCTACCCGGATTCTCCGAGTGCCCGGGACTCTCCAAACCAAGCTCCCGCCGGCTGGGCCGTGACCCCGCTCGGAAGAGGAGGAACAGCTTTCGCTTCCGGGCCTTGGGGGCGGAGCTAGAAGTTGGGGCGGGGCCGAGGTAGAGCGAGGCGGGAGCAGGGGTGGAATCAGAGGCGGGGCCTAGGGGTTGGTGGGGCTAGGGCGACGTGGGGCGGGGCCTCAGGCCTGGCGCACCGCCTCCCCGGTTGTCCCGGCACCGCTTAGTGCCCAGCGAGAACCAGCAGCTAAGAGTGGAGGTTTAATTGCTCATTGCTCTCGGTTCCCAGTCCCTCCCCCAGCCGCAACCCGCCCAGCCTAGTTTTTCTCTCAGCTGCCCCACCCACCGCTCTTCTGACCTCGTTTACCACTCCCTCCTTTACCAACCACGGTTCTTGGTTCTTTCCCCGCAACTGATTTTCCTGACTACACTAGGAGGTGGAGGATCTCTAAAGCTCGTTGATTTAATCCTCGTATGTTTTACTAAGTCACTTAAGTCGTGTCTGACTCTGTGCGACCCTATGGACTGTAACCTGCCAGGTTCCTCTGTCCATGGGATTCTCCAGACAAGAATACTAGAGTGGATTGCCGTTTCCTTCTCCATATCTTTTACAGGTGAGGGAATCTTGGCTTGGCTGCGCGGATTTGGACAAGTCACTTGGCCTAAAGGGCGATTTGAGGGGATTAGAGACAAAAGTGCAAAATGCCTGGCCAAGAAGGCCTGCAAGGGATTCTGAAGTCGGAGCCACAGGAGCTTCAGAACCAAGATTAACCCGGGAGGAATGATATTTCAACATTCAAGCTACAAAGCAGATCTTTTCCGAATGATTTTCCGTGCCCTCCTCTCTCCTTTCCCTTGCTGGATGTCAGGCTTGTGGATGAGGATAGAGTGAATAGAGATCAGCACAGGGCTGGGAGCCAGCAGCCAGTCCCACTGAAGGGACCCTGGGGCTCTGCCTCGTTCCCTGAGCGGGGAGCCACTGAGGACAGACGTCTGCTTCCTCTTCCTGTGACTGCCATTCTCCGGGCTTCTTTGTCTGCTCTGCCGGCACAGGACCCACCCAGGGGTACTGGCAGCTGAGACTAAGATTCCTTGGGCCTTCACTCAATCCCCTATTTTAAAAAAGAA